ATTGAGAAGTCTTGCATCCTGAACTGCATAACAGCGTGTTTATCAGGAAATATAGCCTGCTAATGTATTCATAAAGTGCTCAACTGCATCCACTTAGTTCTTTATCTGTATGGCGCTAACGACAAACGATACGAAAATTTATGTGAGCGTTAAGTTGAAATCCAGGAAGCGGAAGATGTGACCACGGGAACATGCCATCTTCTGACCGTTTGTGTAGTGATTTCTCTCTCCGGAACCACCTGCCACAGACACTTGCCGAAATAAGTAATAAGGGACACAGGTGGCGCAGTATTAATAGGGGCAGCCGCTAGGACAGCGCATGTCTACTGCAGTTCGCAGTCCTCGTGATCGTCGCTAGGGATCGTGGTTGCTGCGATGCTGGCTTTTTAATCCATACTGGAGTCGTAATAACATAACTTGTTTGTAGGTAGCCAGATAGTTATACGGCAATTTGGCCTTGTGTCAACACAACTGCTGGCCACCCGCGTGTCCCTCCCTCCTCCGTATGACTGGTAATTTTTCCCAGGTAATGTCGCAGCACGCACTATGGCGCTGCAAAATCTCTGCGCTCACTGAGTAATTCCGGGCCAAAAAACCTTGACTCAAGCAGGTCACGGTTCGCGAGTCTTGTCGGTTCTTGTAAGCATATCGCAGGGGGTTAAGTAAGTTAAACCCTAGCAACTGCGATCTTCAGACCATGATTACTTAGTAGAGAAGAAGTTGTTGGCGGCCAGAGTAGTAGGAATAATTTATTCTGTTTACAGAGGAGTAAAGAATAAGCAGGAAGAATTTTGAATTCAGGGGTAAGCCGGGTCCTAAGTGCGGCCTTAGCAGCAGGTATCTCAGCGGCCGGCAAGAGCGGTTATTGTCTGGGTCGGCCTTGAAGGTTTTTTTACAGACAGAATGCATCGGCCTACGCGTGCAGGCATGTTATTCGTTGCCAGGGGCCAACTTTGCGACATCTCTAATTGGCTGTCCGCAGAAATCGAAAACAGCGGCCATAAGATTTGTCGAAAATCGCTTCGATGCGAACTAGTCACGATAAGCACATCGGTCTCATCAAACTGTCAAGGTGTGAACAGTGCCGTCGCAAGTGCCGTGACCTGTGAGCATGTGTTCTTCATCTTCAACGCTGCTATACGTTTTGTGTGCAGACTAGTCGTCAAGCTTATCCCACGTAGCTACCTCATAAAGTGTTAAAATAAATTTTGATTATTGTTTTTAGATCAAAAAAGAGTACAATAGCTGTCCTAACTTATGATATTCTAGGATTTTTACTAGAATATCCCTGGTTTGCAAAAGTAGTCCAAGCTGCGTCTTCCAAAGTATTAAAGCAGTTAACTAAACTTCATAGAAACACCTTTTGTTGTTTCTCAAATAATATAGTGTTGCCAAGAAGTAGCAGTTTTTATAGGCAACCGCAAAATTCCTATATTGTGAAAC